GGCTTTCACCGTACATCAAAAGGTCGACGTTCAGATGGGTCGTCGATGGCTCGTTCTTCGAATCGCCATTTCCTCGGTTCACGGCCGTTATTGTTGTTGCTCCCAGCACCCAGGGCGATCAATCGCATAGACACTTTTTTGGAGGCAGCCCAGGAGCCCACCGCCGGTGGATCACCGAGACAGTCAACGTCCGCGTGAGTTTGACTAGGGAAAGCGCCAATGTTCCCTGCTTACCAGGTTCGATGAGTCTCGCGCAATGCTGGAGGAAGCTCTTGCAGGATTTAAGCGTAGTTATTCGATCCTAACGTCTATCCCGGAATAGAGAACCAACACCCGGTTAAGCGAAACGTCCAGATACCTCGCACTATCGAGTCGAATCACTAACATTCTAGGGTTGAAATAATCCTTCACGGGTGTTTTTTCATGATTTCTCTAACGTCATTGCCCAGGGCTCCTTACCTCTAAAATTACCGTGTTGAGTGAACTTTACCTTCGCCTCTGGACGCGGTGAAGCTTCTTTTTACACAGTTTGAGAAGTGTGCTGCTTACAGTAAGACCGTAACATACTCTGCTTAATTTACGGCCATGTATGCTGCCGAAAAGTTCAGAAGGCAGAAGAATGATGTGGAATTCTCTATAGCACGTGATGATCCTCGCTGCCTTCAAATTTGAGTCATGTGATGCTGCAACGCCAAGGCTATGTATTTAAGCTGCTGCCTGCTTAAGCCATCGAACCTCGCATCCCCTTTCACATCTCCTCGCGACTCCCCAACTCCAAGATATTCCCCGAGTCATCTTTAGCTATTATCAGCTGGACTTGTTTGAACAGCCTAATTTCGTCCTTTACCTCGGTGCCGCCGCTAAGTCCCCCAAGATGATGCAAACTCCGCTTCCCGCCGAAACGACCGACCCTGTTCCTGCGAGGTCTCAGTGCAAGGCAATGTTGGAGGAACTGGACAAGTTGGCGTCGGTGAACCCTATACGTCTTCAAGACAAGCACGTAATGCACCTAGGCTTGACCGCCAAGGCACTTTTGGATAAACATGCAGGTGCACAAGTCATTGCTGTGGCATTGCCACCGCTCATTTGCTGGGATCGATACCATTACGCACACGTGTATGTTGAAGACGGCATGATCGAATATCGAGGAGCTACGTCGATTAATTACCCAAGAAACAATGGAGAACTCCGTTGTCGAGACGCCATAGAAGAGGGACGATATTACAAGGAGGAAGCAATTGAATATGCCAGGCACCATTGGGGACACCAACTACAAACCTGGACTGTGAGGTCGCATGGCGGCTACCAAACGGACTCTATGGTCGAAGGTCTCGAACTCTCGTATTCAGACTGAGTATCAACCACTGATTTCTGACTTTTGGGCTTTATTCGACCACTTCAGCATTGCCAAGAGGATGAGAAGCCCGAGTTTTTCAAATGACAATCAAGCTGGGTCACCCTTATAGCTTATGCCAGCGCGCCGGATGTGTCCTCCACAGTCTCACCAATGCCCCCTCTCCTGTTAGTGGAGCTTGAGTCAGCTGTCTGAAAAATACGGGTGGATTCTTTTACCTCGTTGCTTCCAATCACTCAAAGATATCAAGGGTTCTACACCTGGCAGGCACACGTCTACACTGCGGTGATTTCGTTTACCCTTTCGACAATCGGAGGAAGACATTGCTACCTCTCAGAAGGCTGTGAGATTATCGGGCTTTTCTCTCCGCAAAATTTGTATCCCCTCAATCGTTCGTAGTCCTGAAAACTAAAACTTTGGAAAACAAGTTCCCATTCTCATCACTGTGCTGAGCCAGACCGGTCAAAAGCCCGTCGTGCCTGGTGAATAGCGTTTACCCAGTGTTGGCAATCAGATTGCAATACACGTTGTGGCTGAGATAACATGGCCACAACCTTTAGAAGCCACCCATATTAGTCCGCTGCCACTCAAAGCTATATATATTCGTAAGAAGATGGCAGTGTGCGAGAGACACTTCCTGGGATGTCAAAATGGTATATGAAAAGGTTGATCGACTGCACGTCGACGAGGAGACACATCCCATCTCGAACGATTCTGCGACACAGCGCAAGAGCTATTTGTTCTGGCACCACAGGAGAGAAACTTCGGGTGCCAAATATGCGTTCGAATGGCTCCGTCGACTGCATGTGGACGGTGAGATCCCCATCCCATCGCACGAAATGTCATCTCCATGGCACAAACATTGGACTCATATGGACAACGATACGCCAAGCGGGAGGACATTTATTCACGGACCAAACAAAATTCAGACGTTAGGGGATGGTCAAATTTTCTTCAGTTCCTGGCAGTATTATGTGCTCGATCGACATATTTTCAGCTTTGCCTCTCGCGCGACTCTGATTTCAGCAACACACCCAAGCCACATGAGGATCTCAGCGTTTATGCTATGATTACAGTTCACTGTCTTCATCCTCTTCAGAGCCTGTCCGCTCCACAGATTGGTTTCGGCATATTCACGATCGTTTGAAAAGGGCACCACACCGGTGAGACCGAAAATCGTGTCACTGATATTTGAAGACGGAGAATTATTGTTGAGCTGTTTGTGGACGCGTTGTGCCATCTTCTGTCCAGAAGAGAGCTTCGATAAATGTTGAGAATAAATATCAAAATGCATGTGATCCACAATTTAGAAGACAGTGCAATATCTGCCATACTCCAAAGCATCGATTTCACGATTCGCCTCCTCTACTTCCTCCCTTCTAGTATTCTTGGCTCGACCTGCCACCGGCTCAGAATTCTTCCGCTTGCGCCCTTTCTTGCTGCCTCTCGCGGCGTCTTCCTCCTCTCGCTTCCTCTTCGCCGCCTCGATGTCGGCATAACTCATCACTTTCCCTTCTCCAACCTTGATCGACCTGATGGAGGCCTGTGCATCCGTGGCATTTTTCTGGTTGGTCAATTCGTACATGTCTACGTGGAGAAGATCGCGGGCAGCCATCGTCTTTTCGGTGGCATTGAAGAGCTTCTGAAGACAAAGTCGGCTATGGGGATCAAGAGTGTGGGTGTTTTGTTCTAGCATTGCCCGCAAGGACGCGAGGTGGTCAGAGGTCACTGGCGTGCGGAGCGGCTCGCTCTGAAGAGCTGGATCTACAGCAGACACACACTGGGGATCCCGGCTGGACGCCTTCCGGATCCGAGAGAGAACTTTGTTTGGGTCAAATGGATAGAGGCCGGCTCTAGCCCATGCGGATTCAATGTTCGCTTTGGTCAATGCTGCACGTCGCGACTGGTCATAAAGCAGGGTGAAATCTCTCTTACCGATGGATTTGACGCCTTTTCGATACATGCCTTCCACACCATCTCGATAAGCCGTCTTGAGCAGTCCGAACACCACCAAGTCACACGGCTGAAGCTCGTGGGAGGAGTGAGAGGGAAGGCGACAGAGGATGATGTTGTTGTCATGACAGAACTGTAGGACCTCAAGGGACTCGTGGGGTCCGAAGCCGTCGTTAATCAAGATCCGTGGGCGACCATTGGCGCGATCCTTGGTTTGAGGGTCAAAGACGTGGCGATACCAGTCCAGCATGATTTTGGCATTGGAATATCCAGTGGCGGAGCAGGCATAGTGCCATCCTGGTGTCGGGTGAGTAGTCCAATCACGGCCAGATGACGAGCGGACCCAAAGCGGTACCGTCGGCACGAATGCATTCAATCGTAGTGACCAACTGGCGTTTGACCGCGGTCCCTCGATATTTCCGTGCATCGCTTTTTGAGACCACGAATTTTCGAGTGGCCAGATTGCTGATGAGATTCCCAGTTTCGTCCATATTGTACAGTACACATTCTCAGGCAAGATGGCAGAGTCGTGCAACTCCCGCCCTATGATCTTGAACCAGTCTTCCGCCTTTTCATAGATATTGTGCCGAGCCCATTCGATTGGCTTGGGTCTTCTGGACGTCAACCCTGGATGGCGTTTGTAAAAGTTCAGAACCCAGTTTTTACCCCGAGGTCGTATTTCTTCGTGCTCCGCCGGGATCGGGAAGGTGGATGACCGTTGGCGGGCGATGGTCCAGGCGAGGTGTCGCACTAGCTTCACGGGGACTGGAAATCCGCGGTCGGCGGCACGCAGAATGTATTCAAACAGGGCCTTTTCCTCGGATGGTGTGGGTATTGCTTTTTGGTGGCCGCTTGTTTTCTCGACGTCCTTCCATGACGGCGGTGCCACAGAGTCGACTTGGGCACATTGGTGAGCTCGGCCCATGCAGCATAGGTTTTCGGCTCCGAGGAATTTATCAACGTTGCAAGAGCATCCGCAGCAGGATCATTGGACTCGCCCATGGCCGCTGTATAGAGACTGAAATGCTACAGTGCATTCGAAGGGATGGGAGGAGGAATGCGTCTCCATTCCCTTCCATTCCCTGCGTCACTGAATCGGGCATAGTGGTTATTACCACCCGACACGCTGCTATAAATGGCACTCGGTATTTACATTACCACCGAGCGAGCGGAGGTACCTTGCAATAACATCAAAAGGTGAGAGAAACGCACTCGGAATGCGATTTGAAAACCGTTCTGAAGTTTGAAGTCAAAGGAAGGCCTTTAATAAGCCCGAATCTCGAGTTTGGGCCCTTGCATGACTAGAACGCCACGATAGACCGCGATCGGCGCCACAGCCGAGGGGCTGCGTGATCACTTGAATGGATATCCAAGTGGTGAAAAAGCATTTGACCGAAGACAAAACTGTCGAATCCATTGGTAATAGTGAGCTTGGACATTAAGAATGATAGGTACCTTCCCGCGTGTTTCGGCCAATGGCGTGTTTCGCTACTTAGGGATGGAGGTTAATTGCTGGAATCCCAGCTCTTCTGCTCTGGGGAAGTAGAGCTTCGGCGCAATTTCCACCAATCACGCAGTATCTCGACACAACCTGGCATCCTATTTTCCTTCGAATCGGGGTAGTTACTATATCTACTGGTCCCCGCCCGTCCTTGACGAAAGGAAAAAGAAAAGGTAAAACCAAATTCATAGTTATTAGTTCGAATAGACCTGAAAGTGAAATGAGGGATTCTACGTTCCAGATTTTGAGAAACCCGATCTGTCTGCTATGCATCTGCTGTACCGCTACCTTAACTTTGAGATCCGTGCTGCTATCTAGTCTCCACCAGCCTGAACTCCCTCCCTCTGCCGCCCCAACTCGCTGTCAGATCGGTCCTAGATCTCTGAAGGTCTGCCATCCCCGCATCCGTCTGCACTTGTTCATGGCCCAAACGAGTCTTAATGTTCTGATCTAAAAACATCGACCTCATTCCTCGGCGATTGAGACTGGATTAGACAGGAGCCCTGATGCTGCGAAGGTCTCCAACTCCCCCCTCGTTTTTTTTAAAGCCAGCGTCCTAGAGTCTGAGTCCGTAAATTCAAGATTGACACAGTTTCAGCTCGTCAGTACTCGATACCCTTACCCGACTTTCCTCGAATTAAGAACTGCTAAACTGAAACTCAGCCCGTACACCTCCATTATGGCCTAAAGTCTGCCTTTTCGCGTGAGGCTGGGCGGCTCAGCCTAGTCAACTCGACTATAAGAGTGTTCTCTAACTATCACCGTGTCAAGAGCTACAGTAGAAGAGGCCGAGACGGAAGGAAAATTCTGACAACAGGGTGAAAGACAAGGATGGGCAAGCACGAGTGAGGGAAGAGATGGAGTGACTCTGGTGTGCCTATTCGCCGAAATCGGATGCCAGGGCAATCATAGAACTTACCAATTAGGGCTATCTCAGAGACCTGCTACTAAGCCTTCTTGATCTCTTCTGCTTACACTCTATCAGCTCGCTATGATATAGCCAAGGCCCCTCGATAGTGTACCTATCAACTTAAACTATCTTTGAAGGTGTAATTACGGCCATGAAAGGGTACTAGGACTTTACTCAGCATCCAGGAAGGCGCGGCGAATACTGACATGTCAGACAAAGAAAAGGGAGGGTAGGGAGAAACGGCCACATAAATACTGAAATAGATATCATCTAGGAACCCAAGCGCGAGTGGTCCAAACCGGTACTCGTGTCCATTCGAACGGGCTTATTTTCAAGCTCGATTAGGACAGCTCGGCAGAGCCCCGATCGTCAAGCTGCCCGTTAGAACTCAGTCTATTAGATCAAGTTTTTATGTATCTAACTAACTAGCTGAGAGGATATTATTTCATGATCAAGATTAACATATGAACAGTAATTACTTATAGCAACATATTTCCATTTACTAATAAGCCGGATCATCAAAGGACTTCTTAGATCAATGGCCGAATGGCTGGGGTGCGTTTGTCTCCCAGTCCATCTCCTTCACAGGGTGGAGACCGTTATTTTCTCGTCGTATGTTGTGCATGAGAGCATGAAACCCAATTTAATCGATCCGATTGCTACAATAGTAGCCTGATCAACGATGGTGACATTGTCCTGTAGTCGCATTAGAGAAACTTAAGTGAAAATCAAATACTAGTTTTGAGACGAAAAAAATCTAGAAACACCGAAGAGGAAAATACCGAAGAGGGCTCTCTTGCTGTAGGAAATCTCCTCTCTCTATATAACGTCATGCAGTAGAGTCATTGATGTATCTCCCAATAACAAATCTAATCTCTGTCACTGTTTATCTGGCTAGACGCGCGATGTCGGATCAAAACCCTAACGTGACTGAGCCCCCTTCGGTCGCTCAGCTCCTAGACAGAGCTCAAATCATTGTCGAACACGTCGAGGCAAGTGATTTGCCAGCTCCTGTCAAAGAGATTATTACGGCTTTTGCCAGAAAATTACCCGCGTATATTAAAGAGTGGCAGACGGTTACGACGACGAGTATATTGGCGGCCAGATTACCTGAACTCCAAATCCGAGAGTGGATTTTGGAAATCAATGCCCAGATTGAGCCTCCCGCAAATGATGTCCCCCAAACGGCCTCTATGACCGACACAAAATCGACTCTCGACATAGCTGGCGAGGTGCGAGAGTTTACTGCCGCGATCGCTCGGTTTCTAGCCTTTCCTCAATATGTTGCAAAATGTTTCTACTGCGACGAGAGTGCGTCTAGGACATCATTAACTGCTCTCGCGGCATATATGTACGTCTGAATTATATCCGAAGTACAGTATATTTCGGTGCCAAGCTGACCGTGGCAATAGAGATAACTTTGTGTCCATCCACGGCGAGGAAGTGTGGGTGTGGGAACGTGGCAAGAGAAACCCCATTCAAAAAGTGAATTTTCCTCAGTCCCCAACTTGTTATCCCACGTGTGCATTCTTTGCCCATGGTACACTCTATATTGGATGGCATCCCAGTTGCGTAACCCTCGTCAAACAGAATCCACACGAGAAGCCAGAATACTGGTCGCCCTTATTTCCAACCGAAAACGAGGTGGTCGACTTGAGTCTTTGTGACAGTTGCCTGCTCGTCTGCGGTGCCCATACAATAGCTCTGCGCCGTATAGATGCTTCAAAAGATGAGGGAGCGGTCGATCTCACACCATTTCCTGTCGCACTCGGAATTCAGATT